GAGTGTGCCTTTTATAGACCATAGTGCCTTTGAATCCCTTTTCCAATATACATACCTAGTTAACCTCTCCTGAATCTTGATCCCTTAGTTTGTATTGTCCCTTGATAAATTGATTAATTGCAAACTAAACATTGGTCTCAGTAATAATTTGTGAGCGTGGTGGGAGGGTACTTTAATAGACCCTCTTAGAAACGAACCCTCAACGGCCGTTCCTCTGGGAGAGGTGGACGCTCGGGCTTTTTAACAAACCTCTCCACATTGGGGGGGAGAGTCGCGAAAACATCCTGACAGCCGGTAGCCCTCTGGTACCGGCTCGCGACACCTGCATTAGGAATAGTGTGGCCAGCAGGAGTACAGGTAATCGTGCCCCTGTACCTGGCACTGGTGAGGTCACACCTGAAGTTCTTTGTTCAGTTCTGGGCCCCTCACTTCAGGAAGGATGTAGAGCTGCTGGAGCAAGTCCAGAGAAGAGCTACCAAGCTGGTGAAAGGTCTGGAGAATAAGCCTTATGAGGAGAGGCTGAGGGCACTGGGATTGTTTAGTTTAGAGAAGAGGAGGCTGAGGGGAGACCTTATTGCTCTCTACAACTACCTGCAAGGAAGTTGTAGAGAGGCGAGAGTTGGCCTCTTCCATCAGGTGAATAATGATAGGACCAGAGGAAATGGCCTAAAGTTGCACCAGGGGAGGTTTAGACTGGATATTACAAAGAATTTATTTACTGAAAAAGTGATTAGACAGTGGAACAGGCTGCCCAGAGAGGTGGTGGAGTCACCATTCCTGGAAGTATTTAAGAAAAATACGGATACAGTGCTCAGCTGCATGATTTAAGCACTGATTGGGTAAAATTAGGTTATGGTAGGGGGATTTAGGTTATGGTTGAACTAGATGATCTTCTGGGATGATTCTGTCCAGGGTTAGGACCCTGGCATTACGGGTCAAGGTTGAAGGGTCTAAGCGTAAGCATCTAGAATAAATGGTCTAGGGTTAAGTGTCGAGGGTAAATGATCTAGCTGATGTGGTGGTGTTAGGTCATAGGCTGGACTTGAGCTCAAAGGTTTTTTCCAGCCTTGGTGATTCTGTGATTCTGTGAAACTGAACAGGTGAGCTGACTGGAGGGCAAGGGGAAAGGGTTAGAAATCCCTCCCTGCCCCCATCAAAAATCACACAGACACACTCCACTCTGAAGTAGGATTCTTTGGACGAAACGTAAGCATCTGTAACTGAGATAAATACTCTTTCAGTTCTTTTTGACAGAAAAAAAAAAAAAAAAGGTAGCATATTGCATCTACTGCACAACTCATCTAATTCTACAATAGGCTCTTAATACAAGTCAAGAGGAATACACCTTAAAGGTGATTAATTTGGGGGAAAAAAAAAAAAAGGAAATTAAGAATACTTCCAGAGTCTAAGGAATGTAAGATTACCTCTCCCAGTTATCTGATTACACCAATCTGTGATATGTATTTCTTTATATTAGACTTCAGGGGGAATACAGAATAGCTAAGAAAAAAGGAATTGTATCAGTCACAAAAATATAAAGCATATCTGGATTTCTTTATAATCAGGTGGCAAGAACCTTTTTACCTATCATTACGTAAGGGAAGGATTCATCTGGGTCAGTTTTTACTCTATTGAAATGCTATGCAACACAAACTTTGAGAAGAAGCCTTAGTGATACCTACAAAGAGGAAGTGGTCTTAAGTTAAGCAACTCAAACTGATGAGTTTGTATTGTTTCACTTCCTAATAATTAACTGGGAATTCTGGAGGCAACTCAGTAGTTTGTCTTTCACAGCTCATGTGCTATCATTTCTGTGGCTATAGCCAGACACAAGTAGAGTGAGGAGTCCTGAATTCTCCTGCATCGTCTCTGCATAAGGCTCAGGAGAAGGCAGTGAGGCTGTTCCTCAAAATCCAACTCCAGCACAGGGCAGCAGACCTGGTCTAAGCTGTTGGCAGCAGAAAACTGCATTGTGTGTTGTGGTATGGAAACAACAGGACTGCCTTAGCCTGCCACAGGCCACAGCATGAGACTTCAGTGCTTATTCCCTCCATTTCAGCAGCCTCACTGCTCAATGGGATGCTATGAAATCAACATACACCTCCTCAGACCAATGTTGAAGCAAGGAAAATGTAAAATTCCAGTGCTCAGACAGCAAAGCTACAGTTGCCTTAGCCACATATAGCCAAAAAGAAAGAGAGAGCTCCTTTCAAAGCTCTGTAGGCAACATGAAGAAACACAGATTAAAAGTGCTTCATCCTTCTCTCTTGCTGGGGCTGAGCAGATTGTCTCAGCAGTGTTTCCTGTGCTTGCCATGAAGAAAGCAATGATCACGATTAGGAAGTGAGTCATGATCCCTTGGCATCACTGAATATAGCCATTCTAGTGCAAAGCCAATGCACTAGAGCATACACAAAACAAAAAGACAAGGAAAAAAACCCACAAAACAAACAACTGAAAATTATTCCTTAAAGTGAATAGTCAAACATCATTGTGTAATATAAAGAAACCTGTGTCAAAATTATAACTGCTTCCTGAGCCTAAAAGACTGGATTATAGCTAAGCAAATTCCTGGACTATTGCTCTTACCCAGAAACCCAGTGTGGTGGAAACAGAAGTGTCATATTGTTTCAGGTAGCAAATAATTGCAATCTCACTGGCACTACGCTTCAAAACCTCTTAGGCAACTTCAGGATCCACTGGTTTGCTACTATCTACAATTGCTGTTCGTATTTTCTTTTTGGCTCCTACTGCTGAAAGCAGGAAAATCTCTGCAGGATCACTGTTCTGTTTTCTCCATCTACTAGCTAACAACCTGAAACATAGGTTCCTTTATTCTCAAGTAAACTTTCCTGTTTTTATTATAGTGTTTGCTTTTTGCTTAAATTCCTCATCAAAAGGAAACATAACAAAATATGAGAAAACTATAAAGTTTCTTTATAAAGCCCCTCCTCTCCCTCCCCACAATAAACTGATTTGTATAGTTATGCAAGAGAAACTTACATCATTCTCCTGCACATCAGCCACTGTTTGATGAGGATCAGGATAGTACTTCAAAAACTGGGCTACATAGGTCATGACAGATTTTTCATCTGGCTTGTCAACATCCACATCTAGACAAGTACAGAACATGGCAAATTATTTTTTTGGCTAAATGGCACAAAAATTCAGCTTAAATGTCTAAGCAATATTAATTAACTCATGCAAATAGTTAAAAGTTTTTTTCAATTAAACATTAGGTACCTTCAGGATCAAGGAGCCTTGGAATTCCTAGCTCTGCTTCTGCAAGTGTGAATGCTTCTTCCAGGTTTTCTCTATTGGACCTTCCCCTCACTTTCTCCATGTCCACTAAATCTGGGCGGATAGCATGAATAACAGAATGAAATGCAACACCACTCCTCCAACTTTGTCCAAAATCCTTGATTTCAATTCCAACTTGCCTAAAGAATACAAAAGAAAAAAAAGTGACTTGCAACAATATCAGAGCTTGATGAAATCAGAAAGGGGACAGGATGCTCCACCCAGTGGCTACCCATCATCAGACTTGAACTTCTTGTTCCTGCAGTGCTAACCAGGTCAATTACAGCTCCGTCCATCCACTGCAGAAATTAATTTCTGCCTATGAAGATTCAAGAGTGTTTTGTCATATAGGTACTGTACTTGTCTCCAGTGGGCTTGCTACTGGCAATAAGGCAACGGTATTTTGAATATATGAAGTGCACCAAGGCTCTCAAGGCTCACACAGTCTGTGGATGTATGCGGCTCCAGTCACTATTTTCTCCCTCACTACAAAGCACTTAATATCTCCTTCCATTATCACTACTGCAGTTCAGTTAGAAATGTCAGTATCGGACAAAAAAAGAAAAACAGACCTTATTAATCTGTTAGCTTTTAAATTGAAAGCATTAACAGCAATATCACTGCTCCTCAGGTGAAAATGCAACACACAAATTTCTTTATATTCTTACCAGAAGTATGAGTGATATTATAATCTCATGCACCCAGAACTCTTACATGTCCACTAAAAAATAAGTGCAAGTGATCAAGAAATAGAAATATACAATGAGAAAGCAATCAGAACTGAATCACACTTCTGATTACTTCTTTTAAAAATAATTCTGAAAGGTACAGTGGTCCACAGACTGCAAGACTGTTTTTTATTGTTTTTTATTTATGTCTGAGCATGCAAATTTCCTTTCAGGACACAGTTAGACACACAGGCAGTCTTGCCATTTGGAGGTTCACAGCCACTATAGCTCTGAATGAAGGCTTAATTCAAAGCTCACTGTGATCAGTGAAACACTTTCACTGACTTTAATGGGTTAGCCCTTGCAAATTACCATGTGAAGCAGGACTAGGCGAAGTGTACCATCCCTCCTCTAGGCTTTCAACACATTTCAGCTCCTCTTCCCAATAATTAACCTCTTTCTCTGCTTATATTTTTTTGTTTACATACATGGAAATTGCAGATTTCCACTTTCAGTTGCCTGTCTCTTACTGACAACGGTGTAATAGGAAGAATGACAAATTAGACTATACTACAGTATAGATTACTTTATTCTACCTACTCACTGAATAACTGAGGAAAGTGTATCTTTATGACTATATTTCTTTTATCTGAGGCAGTATTCCTTAAGTGGCCATTTCCCCTTCAATTTTTGCACGTGATTTCTCTCTTCAAACAGCAGTGACTCCTTAATTTGAACAAATTAAACCATTTGATTCTTTTACATCTTTGATTTTTATTTTCGTATTATGGAAGCCATCAAACTATTATTATATTTGATGCAATTTATTATTTTTTTCAATGCATTTTTGGAAGCAGAGAAAACATGGGATAGTTATACCAAATTAGGAAAATTATTCTTAAGTTAAAAAGAGATAGCAAGAAAAAAAAGAAAGAAAGGAAATTCATGGCAATTTTTGTAATAATTTGTCTCTTGTATCACAAAGCTGAAGAAGGATATTAATAATATTTCATCACCTGCATTTCAAAAACAAGTGTCAGAATTTAGTGCTCCAGCAAGCTCTGTCACTAAGGAATTCTAAGTCAGCGTGAGACTTGCATTGTCACAGGGAGTGTTTTGGCAGCAGGACTAACACACTGTCATTCATGACACAGGTAATTCCCCTTTCAGTTCCTCATTCTGTCAAATACAACCCATTCATTATTCAGAAACTATAAAATATGATTGCTTGTAAAATTAATGGAAACAATTATTCATTACTTGCTTGTTCTGTGGTGGTAACGTTTAGCAGCCTCATTTGTCCAAAGAATATGATCATAGAGAGGTGCTATAAAAATGCAGAACAAAAGGACAATCCCTGACCGAGAAATTTAGAATCTTAAGAAAATGTTCCCACTTAAGATATAAATTAAGTTCATTTGCAGGTTCCTTACTTGGCTGCTGTGTACTGTATCCATTTTAACAAAGCCTTCCTGGCACTTCCTTGCCAAACCTTCCGTTTGCTTGGGGGACTTGCAGTTTCTGAACTGACAACACTTTCCACAGAAGAAGCACTGCTAGACAACGGCTGCAGCTGTGGGAGGTTGCTGGTAAGCTCTTCAATCTGTGGGGGGGGAAGAAAAAAAAAAAAAGCCTGTTTGTAGATAATCTTCTTAATTCTCACCAGTTTCTTAAGTAATTTCCTAATACAACTGAAAAAAATAAAGTTGGGCAGAAGTTATGATTTACATGCTGTGTTTCATTTGACTGTAAAGAAGCTTCAAAAACACTAATGTATGTGCCCAGATGATGATCTTAATTTCAGAAGTACCAGACATCTAGCAATCACTGACTTCCTTGACACCCTACAACTAAAACAATATGCAAGTGTGTCATGTTATCTATTATGACAAATTTAGATTGAAACGAGACAATGGCTTACATTTATAGTGAATTCATATTGTAAAACAATCCATTAATTTCAGAGGAAGTTCACGCAATTCAAGAATGGAAGTGACCTCACTGATCTCCTCTGGATAGTTCTTTATTTACCATTTTACTGTTTTGGCCCAAATTCAATTGAGGATTTGCTTAGAGGTACCTTGTGAAGGAATTGCAAATGTTTTGCAAGTATAGTGCATTAGTAGTGCTTTTTGAGGGTGCACAATAGTTATTTGCATCATGATTTCCCTCAAATGAAAAAGTAACTTGGCTCTTTTAAGAACATTAAGTTGACTAAAAATTTGGTTCTTTAATATTAAAGAATTATATCCAGAGGATGTTGCAAGACTGTCTATGCTGCCTGCTTAGAAAACAGTTTTGTGACATTACAGAATGAGAATCACAGGTCTCATGCATTTCTGCTTTCATTAATGCTAAAACGATACATCTGCCTGTGACAACTAAAGAAAAGTTCAAACAATGACCCAAGTAAAACTGATGCAGAGAACTAGAGTTTCAGTAACTCTGAGAAGCATAATTTCCCCTGTTCACCTCAACGAGCTATAAATTAAAATAAAAATGTTAATATCATCCCGGCTAACTTTTCCTCTAAGATGACCTGAATGGCTGAGGCATCACACTGGTTGGTGCTTAGGAGAACAGCACCCCTGAGACATGAAATCCACATCATAAGAGAGCCAAAGAACTCCATAAAGAAGAAAGAAAAAAGAAGAAGAAAGAAAAAAGTTGTTTTTTCAAAATGATTTAGCAGTGACACATTTTGTTAACTCACATGGACAGGATCTGGAAAACCATTCTTCCCTCCCACCTAACTTCAGCAGAATGCAAATGATTTCTCCTCCACAAATTCAAACTCCTCTCAACCTACACCATTCACAGCTAAATTTTGTCCTTGCAAATATCTGCATCTCTCAGTGAAATAAGGGTATTTACATGCATTGTTTGAGAATAATTACTGCCTGTCATCAAGTGCACTGAAACTGGACATACAGCACAATAACCACTGACATTGCTAAAGGCACATGTCACAAGAATCCACAATTCTATTTTTTTCTTTTGTTGCTTTGTGATACTCCTCAGCAAAAGTGGAAGAATATGTTCCAGTGATGAAAAAACTCCATTCTAGGGCCAGACCAATCTATTCCAAATTTTACCTAATGTGAAGGTAAATACCTAATTTTACCTAATGTGAAGCATCCCTAACATCAACTTTAGTCAGGATCAGATCCACAGCTAATTGCAAAACAGTAGGATGAAAGACTGGAACTACACCAGTTCACATGAAATTGTGATCCAGGCCATTATTTGAATAAACTATAATGAATTATAAAAAATGTAATACCTGAAAATATAAAATTATCGTCCACACCAAGCCAAGCACAATAGAAGGCCTCCCATCAGCAATATCAGTTGAGTTTATGTTGACAAGCTTAATCTACATAGGAAAGAAAATGTGTTATTACCACACAAAAGGAATTATAACAATTAGGAAATACATTTAAAATAGGTTTTATATTTTAATGCATTTTTTTGCAATCAAATAACAAGTTTCTTTATCCAAACAATCATTGAATGGTGCAATTTAACTTTTTAGACAAGTACAGCAATAGATAAGACATATTTTTTCAGAATATTGCATGCTATTTTTTGTACAAAAAAAGTTGTTTAATTTCCAGCAGAAATAACAACTAAAGATACATAGAACCATTGTACAAACCGGAGATCCTCTGTATATGGACTAGCATGGAAGGCAAAGGAAAAAAGATGACACAAAAAAAAAGCTTTAAATTATTAATTATTAGGTATATGCATTTATTTAATTTTCTAAAGCAATGAAAGCACAATTTTTGGCACATCATACAACACAATTAACAAAGAAAGCAAACTATCAGATTTTAAATAATGCAAGGGTTTCTTGCTATGGTTCTAATAGTTTTGGAATGGAAAGAGAAAAGTGAGTTTAATAATAAACAAAAAAAGGAAAATGAGGAAGAAAAAGCATAAAAGAAAACTAAGGGGAAAAGAATGCCACAGTACTCCAGTAGAGATTCTTTTATTGTAAAGACTATTACAACCACTGATTAAAGCATCCTTGCAAGACAAACCTGACTATACACATATATTTTTAAATAAATAGTTGGAAAAAATTACTTATTCAAAGTCACATGAAGTTTTTAAACATAAATGGGAACAGATTTCATTACTCAAAGAGTTGTGGTAAGTGGAGTTGGAGATCAAAAATATTTATAGTGACTCAAAATACTTACTTCTGATTAGCCATAGCTATCTAGAATAGTTATTGTGTTACTTTTGTCTTAACTGCATTAAAATGGATCTAAAACTACAAAAAATAAACTTCTCAAAAGCACAGAAACACCCTAATTTGCTCAATAATTTTATCTGTTAACTGCCAGCTGCCTTGTGCAGCATAACATTGCAGAAGTCTGTTTGAACAGTGAGATTAGGAACTTGATTAAATGTGTAATAAACTTTACTTATGGGAGAGTCCGTGGAGGAAGGAGATCCTGTTGGGTCTCCCCAAAGCCCTGTGCACAGACACCCATCTCCATTTGTTCACCTTTGAGTATGGACCAGGGGCTGCACGCAGCTGCTGAAGAGGCTTTTGTCCTCTGAATAGCATCTCCACTTCCTCTGGGAGGAAAAGGGTGACAGATTGGATAGATGTGTCCTTCAGGCTGGGTTCAACTTAGAGACCACCTGCTAATGCACACCAGTCTACCTGACACACTGCATATTTCCAGCTCTCTCTAGAAGAAAATCTGGCATATTAATACAAAGTACCCACAAAAATACGTAAGAGAAATCCACACCAAAACACTCAGGTGTCAGAAGCGAAAACACGGTGCTGCACTTCTGGCAATCTAACTTGCTCTTCAGCAAGGTCATATATCTAGCTGCCCTGCTAAACTCTTCTGGATCAGCTGGGTCATTCAAAGTTCAGGTCACCCACTATTTTGTGACATGTACACTAGGGAAGCATGGGGTTTTTGCTTTTCATCTAGCTTTGTCTTATGTTATACAGGTCTCACCAGAAAGCAACTCATTTTGCATCTAAGCCTCCACTCTCAGTCTGAATATGATACAATTTGTATTTAATAACTGTACTACTAGAGTTCACTAAAACAGTAAAACTGTGACCTAGAACTGAATTTTGCTTTGGTTATAAGTTTTTCAATGAAAAAAATTGTTCTCATATATTTCTTTCTACAGGGATCTGCTAAGATTTTTTCCTATGTAAAGCTAATAAGGAGTCACACTCTTCTAATTTTTCATGTCTGTGCTTCCATGGAGTAGAGATTTGCATGTATAACCTAGTGAAGTCCATAACTCTATTGCTTTAATTATAAATTAATGTCTCTAGTGAACTGAAGCTAATTGTTCTTTGCTGAGAACAACAACAGAAAAGCAGGGAAGGTGACTCTAAAAAAAAACAACATGTTTTACATTGCAACATATTAGCATTGGATCTTGTAATTTTTACTTTACAGTAGCTTTTAGTCACTGTGTAGAAGCTGAAGACTGCATACATAGCTCAAATTTTGGAGAATAAGAATAAAAAGTGGTGGGTGGATACAAATAATACATTGAAAGAAAAGAAAAAAAAAAAAAAAAAGAGGAAAAAAACAGGAATAGGACCAA